TACAAAGATCTGTGAATGTGTAAACAAATCTATAAATACGTACACAGATCTATGAATGTGTAAACAAATCTGTAAATACGTACACAGATCTATGTAAACGTGTCTGTGTGTTATCGTCATGTTAACATTTCACAAACTTATGTTGTCCAAATTGTAATTAAGAACTAAACAGAATGACTTATTGAAGGTTTTGTGTTATGTGTCTCTAGTGCTGACGTAACATTTGCAGTGAGAAACCTTCCAGGATAAACTGAACTACATCCACAAGTTGACCAACCTGTCCACCTGGTTGAAAATCCTCCGCAGTGCTTCCCTCTGCTCATAAAGAGTTTGTGCACATAACTGGTGATCCGTCCTCCAAAATCACCTGAGCAAGAAAATGTGAGACGATACTTCCTCTAGTTCTCAAATAACTCTGCCGCCCCCTGGTCGGAGTTAAAATATTCAACCACCTGTCTGAAACCTTCCCACCACCTGTACCCTGCATACCGAAACACAACAGCCTTCAAATGACACATAGTCTGCTCCATAGTCTGCAAGTCTGCTCCTACAATATGAAAAGAAGTGAGTGCATTTTGGGGGGATTTAACAGGTGAATGTGGCCTGCTGGTAGAAATAAAGTTTCCCCTCCCACAGAGAATCTGATCAACTTCAGGGACAAAAGCCCCCGCAGATGCCCCCCGAAATACGAGACGCAGCACGGTGCCACATCACCACTGCTGAGCCTCAAACACGGAGAAACATGCTGCAACAGAGCGGGCCTTGTGCCTTGTTGGCTGTGTCAAACCTACTCACCTTTGTGGTTTGCTTCTCCCTCATGATAATTCTTGATAACAGCACAACCCATATTGGCATTGTAGCTTTGACTGTGAACAAAAAAACAAACAAAAAGGGACAATGTCAGCTCGGATAATATAACAATCAAACTTTGTGTGCTTGTACAAACATGCAGTGCAATTTAAGAGCAGCGGGAAGAGAACACACGCCTGATTAAAGTTAAGACTATAAAATGTTATTTGTAATTCTCTTACATCAGATCCAGGCCTACGCCTCTGTCAAACATTTGTGCCACTCAGGGATTCACATGCCTCTGCTGCTGCGTCACCTACTGACGTACTACTGACGTATTAAACGTGGGTTTGTCCCGGTGTTTTACTTCGAGAGTGGTGGCGCCCTTTATTAATTACAATAAAAAGGTATTAAACTTTGATTTAAAACCATCAAAACTAGATTTCAGCACGACGAGAGAAGCTCATTATCAAAGTTAAGCAGTTACTTTCAAACCTTTACGATTTTATTCACACGGCAGCTGCGGCTCCAAGGTTATTTGAACTAGTTTAGATGAAGTCAAAACAGGCGAAGAACAGTTTAATTTAAAGTCTACTTTCTTCTAGTTGAAGTCCGGACTATTAGAAGTAGGAGGAGTATTTTATTTATAGATTTTACTGCACGATCCGTTACCCGTTTAACCGGTACATCTCGCTAAAACTAATGCGGTAAATATTAAGTGTGCAATGTTCAGCCTTTATTTTAGAGGTGTCACAAAGCTGAACATTATAACCTTCATGAAGAAAGGATTTACAGCAGGACTGTTGTTTTATATAACTTAGTGTAAATGATCAGCGTCCAAGTTAACTGGCTGTAAGTGGCTAAAGAAGTACTGATGGAAACCGTCATTACGAGACCTCCGGGGGTCTTTAAAGTGGTGTAGACGAGGCCTGAACTTAAGAAGAATAGGTTTGAGGTTAGAGAAAAACTACTGGAAGTTAACTATATATTTCACAGGTTTCATTAAACCCCCAGTTGATTCAGGTACACCGAGCTAAAAGTAACAGTCTGTTACAACAGCCCCACACTAAAACCCACTGGTTCATAAATCTGCTCCAAACAGGGGAAAACAACTTCTATTTCAAAGTAAGAGAGGTTATTAGAAGTTGGGAGTGGTGATTTTAGAGGCTGTAACTTGTGTTGCTGTCGAACTGTACTGCGTTATACTGAGCGGTGCTGATAGTCAGCTCTTATTGATACAAATAAGTATAGGTATTAGTCAATAAGCAGGCTATAGGTGCAGAGACGCTGGAAGTCAGTCAGAGTTGGGGTGCTGAGAGAAAGTGACATATAATCATCATACTAAAGGCTAATGCAGGACACTCGTGGTTTTTTGCATTAATTTGAATGACCAGGAACATGTACGGCCTATTTAATAGCTGTTTTACACAAACTTCTTGCCGTAAATACAAGTTTACACCATTATTTCCAGCGCCCACGTATATATAAGTAAGTATTTATTATAAATTAAGGTTGCACAATTAAATCACAATAGTATCCAAATCTCAGAAGGTGCAGTTTCTATGATAAAAGGTCAAATGTGTGACAAAACAGCATTATAATTACGTACTGTAGTGCTGCAAAGGCCTACAGATGTAAGAAAACATCAAATGTGTAATAAAATACATAAATACAACAGTTCAGACACAAACTGCAGCCTGTAAAAAGGCCATGAAGCAGCACGAACACATCTCTAAACAGCCTCAACAGAAAACAGGATAATATTCATTAAAAGGACGAATGCATCAGACTGGATTAGTATTTGTTCCCATGAATAAAGCAGCACCTGAGTGAAACTTACACCGACTCATGAGACAGTAACCTAATAATGTTTCACATGCGGCTTTTTAAAGGGGGTAAAATCAATTCCCAGGAGGAGATTTAATCTGATTTATTTCGCCCCGGCTGTCTGAGATAAAAGTTAAAAGCAGCACACCGCAACAGAGCCGGTTCAGACAGCGACCCTCCCCCTTTGACGTGCAACATCGCCGCTAATCAAGTTGAGCTTGCGAGCTACCAGCAGCCAGTTAGTGTGGCCCTTAATGTGAGTCTAAATCTGCTTTAATGTGTAGTTACAAACACGTGTGGCATCCAGTCAGCTCCTGAAAGGCCTCTCTGTTCACGGCCGCTAAAAAAAACCCAGCACAACACGGACTACAACACGGTTTAAACGTCGGTGTCGCCGAGTTGTGCAGCGTTAGCCGCGGTGCTAATATCAGCTGACGGTACAAGACACATCATCAAGTTACGTC